TAGTATAATATTCGTAAGTTTGTTAATGTTATCATTCGGTTTTTCGTCGCGTGCAAATAATCATGGTCATCGTCAAAAATGTCGTAAAAGAAATTGATAAAAATGATGAAGTTCGCAAACAAATATCTTTTTCTTCTTTTTCGTACAAATGAATAGTAAATTATCATATTATATATATATATATATATGTATATTTTTTACAATCATTCGTAAGATATTGAGGAAATAATACATAATAGCGTTTCAGTCGCAAAATATTACAAAATAAATACAATTTCTGTCCGATAAAATATCATTTATTCTTTTTACAGTAATTTTTTATCCATCCTTTTCTATTTTTTGTTTTTTTAGAAGTAAAGTAAAGATAATAGAAAGAGAAAGAGAAAGAGTATGGTTTTAAATATAGCAGCAAAATTGCTTTCAATGATACTATGTAACTGAGATGTTCGACCTTTCTCGATAAGACACACTAATGTGCTCTGCTCGAACGAGATAATCCTATCAAAAGCACTTAAATGTACTACACATTAATAACGTTACAATTTCATAATGACTTACATACCAGTTGTCTGTAATATAAATTGATGAATGGTTTAAATACGATTAATAATTTTACGATTATTTATTTCAATTTAACATTTTCTTTTTTCTTTCTTCTTTTYTTTTCTTTTTTTCTTCGGCAATATCAATATTCTATTCTTTATTTCTTTTTGTTTATTGCAATACAATCATTTTATAATTAAAAAAAAAAAAGCTAAAAGATTCACGGAACGACCTTGAATGTCGATTATACAAAAAATTAATGTCGAAATACAAAAGACGAATTACGTAAAAAAAAAAAAAAGAAAAAAAAGACCTCACATTACGACAACGAGGAAAAATGAAACGTCCCCTTGTCTCTTTCCCTTCACTTTCATACTCCAGGTAGCAAAAGCAAAACCCCTACTGCTTAATTTTTTTCCAAAAAAGGGGTTTTGTAGCATAAGAACATGAAAATGTTGGATGGTTAAAAAGGGTATTTGAAATAGGGAAGAAGCCCATCGATAATAATAATAATAATAATAATAATAATAATAATAATAATAATAATAATAATAATAATAATAATAATAATAATTTCATAATTTGTACAAAAAACTTGTACTCGAGGAAGCACCACTTATAATCTACCATTACCCTCTCTCTCTCTCTCCCCCCTTGTCGTTTCTAAAATAATAATGCTGTTCTGCCTAACATTAACAAAAATAAAAAATAAAAAAGCGAACGACGAAATGGTTTTTTTTTTTTTAAATGGTGGTGGTGTACCGGTTGTGTAAACAGTACGACGAAAAAATTTCCCACACTTGGGCGTAATTTAATTTAATTTTTTTCTTTTCGAGAGTAAGAGAATCACCACCTAGCATTTTCGTACAATGAAGAGGAGGCAAACTGGCGTGTGTGTGTGTGTGTGTATATGTGCGTACACACACTAACTCAGATCCGACGCGTATTTCGCATAATATTTTTCAGGAAAAATTGCTCGCGTAATTGCTGGTTTCGCGAAGTTAATGAATCAGTATCTGAATGAATGGAAATTGCATGGCAGCCAGTGGAGAGTACTTAGCGAGGCAGAAAGATGTGGGGGGTGGCTCGTCGTCGTTAATTTATCTCCGTAACGTTCTCCTAACGGTCTGCTTTATGCTTGTTGGTTTATCGATGTCAACCCGTTATCGAACACACAATACGAAATTTATAAATATACGTATATATTTACTTACTTACGATGACGATGAAAATATTAACTTTGTAAAATTTCGATTCGAAATTCGTAATAATAATGCTTTATTCTTAAACTACACCCCTTTCTTGACAATTACATTTTAAATTGATTTATTTCAAATTATTTGTATTATTTATAATTGACGAATACATAGACGAAGTGTTGAATCAATTATAATTCGTGTATAAAATAATATAAAATTTCTATGTAGAAATATCTTATTACTTTAAAATCATTTTTTCACAATTTATAAAAACTATTTATTTGCCACACAAAAATTGACTCGCAGTTATAAACAAAACATAAAAAAAAAGAAACGTGGATATTAAAGATAATATTCGTTATCAGGTAAATAATATTGTTTTTAATTTTCTTGTTTTCCCCCCCCCCTTATTCTTTCTGCCCCTCACTCTTTAATTTCACACTTCATCGATTATATTTAATTAACGAGTAAAAAAAGGAAAGCAAAAAAAGATAAAGAAAGTGAGAGAATAAGAAAAGAAATAAAAGTTCTTGCGATCTCGACCTTTACATTTACTTATATTAGTTAGAGAGAGAGAGAGAGAAAGAGGAGAAAGAATATCAAAAGATGCAATAAGTTTTTCTCTCATGCACGCGCTAGCAAGGAAGCACGTGCTTGCTGCGCGCCAATTCGCCATTTAACATTGGCCATTCACAATCCAGCATAGTAGAAATGTTGCTGCGTAGCGTGGGTTGTTCGATCACGCGTAAATCACTAATACTTTCGTTCATTGTTACAACATGATTATTATTATTATTATTATCATTATTATTATTATTATTATTATTATTATTATTAATTTTAACAAAAGCATGAGAGTTAAATAGAATGATCATGCACTACTACTTTTACTTACGTACGTATCTTTTTTAAGATACATGTATGTCTGTATACATGTGTACGAATATTGATAATAAAGTACAGATGTCTCGCCTACTAAGCTTGGTTATCTTTTTAGCCGTCCCCCCCCCATTCCTCCTTCGTTCACCCTATCACCATTAACCACCACTACCATCATCACCATTACCGTCATCGTCATTTCTATGATCTCAAGATCGTTTTTCTTACCAAGAATCTGACCGATCTCATTTTCATGCAACTTCCGCGTTTTTAGTTTGAAATAATGCATACTTACAATTCATTATTTTCATATACACATATATACTTATTATACATATATACTACTAATACTAATAAATATATGGACACGTGTTTAGCTAGCATAATAGGATATTGGATAATCTTCATTCTAGTTTGTTAGTTAAACGTATAATTTAAACACATGTTTGATCGGTTTTTTTTTTTTTACATCCAATTATTGTTATTCATTAATTATACATGTGTCTTCTAATAATAAAAAAAAAGGATTGATAATCTTGAATTTAACCAGACAAATAATTATATTTTAATCGATCTATATATATATAGTATATTCGAAAAAACGCGAGATAAAAATTGGAAGCAGAAAAAGAAAAACAAAATTAATATCAAATAATTTCTCGGTGAACGAGGAGACAAATGTAAGAAAAAAAAAAAAAAGAACAAAACAAAATTAAAAAAAAATTAAAAGATAAATCAAATCAATGAAAATCTTTATTTTTGCAATTTTTTTTATGTTGTGGATCAACGAAATCGAGTCGCGAACGTTATTGACCTCGTAACCTCCTCGTTCCGAGTCCGGCAATAGAAGAAGATAATCAAAGAAACTGACTCTTCTTCTTCTTCTTCTATCCATCCCCCGCCACCCCCCTATTCGCGTTTCACACTAGTTCATCACTCGTTCCCTCTTTCTCTTTCTCACGTATACACATATACACATGTACTCAAATATCTACCGATCGAAAAGAGAAAAATGATTGACGGAGTCTGAGACAGAGAAAGAATCAAAGAGAGTGAGAGTGATAGAGAGAAAAAATATTACGACACTCGCACGCAATACAATAATTCATACACGATAATCGCGTTTCATTATTGCGTCTCTTCTTACAACGACCACCGATTACATAATGCGAATCTTGAGTTATCGTGCATGAGCAACAAACACACACGTCTCTTCGGGGTTCCTTTCAATACAACTAATAACACACGTGTAGTTTATTCGTTCGTAGGTTTGATCGTCGTAGAACGATTTAGATTTAGATTTGGTCATTTGTAGACGGAAATGAACGTACGAAGACGGTCAAGTCCGTATCTAAATTAACACCCGCTAAACCAAATGTCATATATATATATATCTCTCTCTCTCTCTTTCTACGTCTGTCTCACTACTAAGAAGTGTATACAAATGTAAGAAACGACTAACCTCTCTCTCTCTCTCTCTCTCTCACACACACACACACACACACTTTCATCCCCATTCCCTTTCCATCCTTCTCTTATTCTCTCTCTCTCTCTCTCTCTTTCTCTTTCTATTTCTATTTCTCTCAAATCACGACTAGATGTTTCTAGTATTCCAGTTATTAACTAAAAGCACAACACATACATACATATACATATAGACGTACACCCTGATACTGTTTCTCTCTCTATTTCTCTTACACTTTCTCATTCTCATATTTCTCTCTCTCTCTCTCTCTCTCTCTCTCTTTCTGTTTCTCTCCCTAAGGAGATTTCCGTCGGACGTGTTTCTCGAAGCATGGAAGGCTATGTATGGGGTTCGATGGCCTTTCCGATCTCCTCTCTCGATATCGCACTAGAGAGCACCTTTTGCCAAGCGATTACGACAGGAGAGGAGAGAAGATTTCCGAAAAAAAAAAAATAGAAAAGTGTTAAAACATTCTCAACGAAGTTATTAAAAATAAAAAATAAAAATAAGAACAAACAATGAAAAGAGAAGAATCGAAAACTCCTCCCCCCCGCCCTATTATATCAGATCGCGAAATGTGTATTACAAACTAATGTTGTCTCGACTTTTATCTCGAATCGAAAAGAATAAAATAAAATAAAACGAAAAAAAAAATAATAATATAAAAAAACCACCACGATTAAAACGAAAATATAAAAAAAATAAACGGAACGGAAAAAGGAACTTTGGAAGAGTGGGAGAGAAATATATATATATATATAAAAAAAAAAACGAATTGATTAAAAAGAGACAAACAAAAATAACAAAATATAAAAATAATAAAAAAAAGCGACGAACAAAAATGACTACAACACAACTACAACTACAACAACAACAACAACAACAACTGAGCAGTACTTTCCCTTGTGTTCCAGACCGAGAATGTCCTCTAAGAGGAAATCGCCACCAACGAAGCTATCGGAGGGCGGGGGCGGTGCGGGTACAGTTACGAGCGGAGGCAACGAGGAGGAGGAGGACACGAGCTCTTCGGTGGTGACTGCTGCTGCCGTTGAAGGAGGTGGAGGAGGCGGTGGTAGTGGTGCTTGTAGTAGCAATAATAGCAATAGTGGTGCAGCCACCACTGCTACCACTGTTCCTGGTGGTGGTGGTGGCGGCAACGGAGAAGAGAACGCTGCATCAGGGGTGTCTGTGGTGCCTCCATCAACTGGGACAAACGAAGAGGGTCGTGTTTTGGACGTCGAAGAGTGTTACTCTCAACAGAAAGGAGGAACAGGTGGAGTAGGAGGAGGCCAAGAGTGTGAATCCTCCGGTTGTTCATCCCCAGCAACTACAAGCGAACCGGATCTTCGGGATTCACCTTCACCTTCCTCGAATTCAATTCGCGGTGCCAAAAGGCAGAGGATTCTATTCCTTTCGAATCAAGAAAACTCTGCCCTGTCTTCTACGACTGGTCCATTTCATCATCATCATCCCCATCATCACCATCACCATCACCATCATCACCATCATCATCATCATCGTGCGAATACTACTACTTCCTCCTCGGCATCTTCCTTAACAGGCCTTCAAGAGGCTGCCAGTTCCTCCGAGTGTGGTTCTCCGCCTACACTTCTCAACGTTGACTCTTATTTTCAACCCCATCATAACGATAACAACAATACAGTTACGCAAAATAACAATCACAGTAACAACGGTACCGGTATTACAACCACGGCAACTACCACAGTACCGGCTAGTAAAAGATCCATGGACGACGTTTTAAAAAGGTTAACCTGTAAGATGAACAGCGAGTCCTTATCCCTTCAAGACGATGTCACGGATAACAGGCGGAGTGCCACGCCTCCTCCAACTGGACACAATTCCCATAGGTTTGTGTTGTTCTTAAACAAACTTTTTATCAAGAAAATTCTTTTTATTCTTCTTCTTCTTCTTTAATTTTACATTCCTTCAAATTTATCTTTTTATACGTGTGATTTTTTCTCGGTTTTATATGTTAAAATGATCATTCTCAACAAATTAAGAATAAATTTCTAATAAAAATGAAATCATTAAGATGCTAAAATACTTGGAAACGATGAATCGTTTCGCATTGTATTCAAACGATAAGAAACAACTCGTCAAACGGAAATCACTGAAAGTCTCTGATTTCAAGCTGTCTTAAATAACAGACAGAGATAATTTAACATTTTACCATTATAATCATCTAACTACTTTGATGATATGTATTTTAATTTAACGCGATGATTGGATACATTTCTTTTTTTCTTCTCGATAAAACATCAACATCATTATTATCCCGATATATGGTTACCGATATTTTTAAGGTCTTATATACTAATTACGAAAATTCGCATGATTCATCACATTCGTTTGATAACAAATTTATTCATTAACATAAAATATTATATTTAAAATATATTTCAACTTCAATCTAATTAACTTTGTTTACTCGTAAAAGAATTAATCTCGTGATGGGTAAGCAACACGTGTTATAAAGAAAACTTATGCTGTTTAAGTGTCATTTAAATTTACGTTTCATTTTAAAACAATTCAGGATAAGAGAGAAAAAGAAAAAGAGAATTCGTCTTTCTTACAGACATTCCTTTTTCCATTTGATTCTTATATTGACGCTTATCATCCGATGATAAGATTCTAAAAGAGTACAAGTCTTATTCTCGAACTTTGTTACATAACATTTAACATAATATAATGCGTATAAACATACACGAGTATTTGTTATAAATTTACATTATTTGTCTCTTTTAAAATGTAATTCAAATATGATTAAGTGTTAAATAACATTGTTGATTATATTTTTCGTTTCTAAAGGCCATCACATAACTTCAACCTTGTTATTTTATAATTAGGATAGGATAATAATCGTTCAAAATTGATTCGATAGTAATATTGGATTCAATTCGTTTCTTGTCTCATTTCATATCACATTTCTCTTTATTATCTTTATCGTATGTTTCAAATTATTACTTAGAATTAAATCGACGTCTATCTTTATAAAACAAAAAAAATAATAAATTATTTTTCTTTCTTTAGTTCATTAGTGTTTGTTCGTAGCAATATTATTGTCATTTAAACAAAATTAATCATAAATTATTTTAACTAAATATGCTACAAATTCTGTCAGTAAATGAAACACATTTGAGACAACATCAACATTTTTGACTTGAGAATATAAATGTGCCAACTTGTGCGTTCTCTTTCGATGAACGTTTCTTTTAAAAGCGAACATTGTACTCATGAAAAAGAAAGAGAGAGAGAGAGAGTCGTAAACTAAATCCTTTTTTTTTTCTTCTCGAAGTTGAAACAAAGCCACACGAGACGAGAGTTGGTAAAGTGAAGGAAAAATAAAAGATATTCGATAAAACTTTCGTTGAGTGCCCAGTTTTGAGTATGTAATATATTTCGTGAAATATACTTTTTCTCTTTCTCTCTCTCTCTCTCTCTCTCTCTCTCTCTCTGTCTCTCTCTCTCTCTCTAACTCTTTTTCTTGTTCTCTATTTCGTTTTTATAAACTCAAGACAAAGAACCATTGTCGAAATACAATCTTTAAAAGCAACCAAATGATTTTTTTTTTTTTTTATAAATAAACATCGAAAGGATTGTTAAACTCGATATATGTGTACTACGTAAGAAATCATCGAGTGGCTGGCTGGCTATATGAGTAATCGTTGATTCGAGAAAAGAAAAGAAAAAACATAATAAAAAAAAATATATATATATATATAAGAAAGAATATAAAAAAAATAAGATCCATACGAGATTATATTATATCTGTCATCTTTCTTTTACCGTTTGTTAATGAACTTTAAGCGGAAATATCGTTCGTTACACGTGCCGCATAAAACAAATAAGCTTGCATTCACATTCCCCCACTCTTCCCCTGCCTATCGACATATCGAGAACAGAGTAAAAGACGATAATCGTTCCTAGGTAATCAGTTTCGTCGATGAATTGATTCGTTGTAGAGAAATCGTAATTATAAGAAGTCTTTCCTCCCCTTCTAACTCCCCACCTCCCACTCCCTTCTGTCTCTCTTAATCCCTCTCCCCCCGTGTTACCCGTTTATACCCTCATCGTTTTTATCATTTTCCTCTTTTTAGTCTCGTGTATTTTCTATTCATTCTAATTCTCTTACAATTTACAATGTCACGGAGACAGAGTGAAGGATTGTGTCCAGCAGCACGTGGTCTTATTACCATTTCCATTGACATACGTCATAAGTAAAGTGGGGTATAGTTGTTTATATAGGATGGATCGTTATCGTCTTTCTAAAGCATTATACGGCTTTTTTTGTTTCTTTATGTAAAACGGCAATGATCCAACTATGAACATTTTTCAAGTCCGATTCCAATCGTCCGTAGTAAAGAGAAACGTTTTATACATCGTCGTCGTCTTCGTAGTCGTCGTACGTCTTTCTGAGAATAATGTAGTGAAGAGATATATTATATAGAAGATGCCTAACTCTCTATCTCTATCTCTTTCTCTCATTCTGTCATTCTTTATTCGGTACGATAATAATTTAAAGAAGCTCGTGAAGATTTTATACTATTTATTATTCGTTACGTTGTGATTGAATTAATACTTTTATTTTATTTTTTTTTTAATTTTTTTCCTATCTTATACATACACACACATATGGAACTACTGTGCCAAATTGAATTTATGTACAAAATAGGGTTATATTAGGAGGACCGGAAAGTAATGTCGTTTCTACTAATGTGTCCAATTTTTTATATTTTTATCAAATAATTTGTATACAAGATTTTTATCAATTTAGTATTAAAAATTTAGCATACTAGACGGAAAAAGATTTGTTGATAACGAGGGCTGGTGATTACATTATTAATTACAAATAAAAACTTTATTTTCATACTAAAATTAATATGTACGTGAATGAAAATATAACCATGTTATTTCTATTTATTATACATAATATACTTTAGGTATATTTATTATACAAATATTTCTCAGGATCTCCTTAATGTTACTAATTTTGCATAAAGATCATATATGTTCATTAAAATGTACATTTACAAAATTATAAATAAATAAATAGAAATAACATGTATATGTGATTACTTTCATTCACATGCATATTAATTTTAATATGAAAATAATGTTTTTTTAAACGAACAAAAATTTGGGTCTGAAGGGGATAACACTAAACGTAGATTGTTACTCGCACATAGTAGAATATATAGATTACTATAAAAAATATTCTAATAGGCCAGTGAATTTAGCTTAAGAGTGAGTAAAAGTGAGGAAGAGAGAGAGAGAGAGAGAGAGAGAGAGAAAGAGAGAAAGAGAGAAAGAAAGCGATAATGTGCAATCCAATCCCACGTCTTCTTGATGTATTTATCGAACGTACGCGAGTGAACTTGGCAAAGGTAGATGAAGCAGGACATAATCGTGCCAACCCGTTAGGCCACATCAAGAAACGTTTGCCAATGGGCCAAAATTCTTCCGAAATTTTCGCCAAAAACTGCGTACACAAGTTGGTCGTTCGGGTCGGTCAGGTTTGTACGTTTCTGACGTTTTATTCTCTCTCTCTCTCTCTCTTTCTCTCTTGGAGTTGATTCAATTCTTCATCGTTTCTTAACTTGTCAGATTGAACACAATAGGATAAATCTAACGTTTATTATAGTGGCTGATCTATGACGTAAAACTATTGTCTGATATAAATGTTAATTGTAGGAAAGTGTATCTTTATGTGTGAGTACATTGTGTGGGACTACTTCTGACGTGATCCAAAAATAATAATAATAATAACAATAATAATAGTAATAACTACTACCACCACTTTACTCGCGAGATAAGTGACACGAATTTACTCTAAATTCGAGAATTTCGTCATGTCCCGAGCATTCGGAGATCGGTTACCTCGAACTATCATCTTATTAATCAGTTCGCGAATCATCATGAGAGTATTCTTTTGCAAATACRATTAAAATTAAAATTAAGATTCGGAAACGATATAACGTGACATGATGTAACGTTGGATAAAAATTTAGAATAGAAATAATGTGAGTGAACTTTTACGATTTAATTGATTTATATCAATCTTTCAATCAATGTGATTTGTATGATCTAATGTATGTGTGTGTTTTTTTTCTATATACATATTAATAATTTAATTATTGATTTCGTTGACACATACGATGGATAAAACTCGCTAAATTTATTGAAGGAAAGAAATTTCTTAGTAATAATTTTTCTTTAAACAAATAACACGTTTGCGTGTGTCTAGTAAGTAATTTTAAATATTTAAAAAAAAAAAAAAAAAATGTAGAAACACTTGTTTCTAACGTCCAAGAAATAAACAAAAAAATCTTTCTCTTTTCCACGAAGGTCAGAAAAATTTGTATCCTTTTTGCAAAAAAAAATTCTCTTTGAAAAAAAAAAGAAAACAGCTTTTCAACGTTGAACTTACAAGAGGAGGGAATTGAAGAAGTTGTTTAGGAACAACGTAACGAGCCGTAGCATACTCGAGAACCTACCGTGTAACAGCTTTGTTGCGTGTTGTGTGTTAGGTTGTTGCAACCTCTCTGCTTAACGTATATATATCATCATTATTACTCGTTTGTGTGCTTTAAATCTCATCCCACCGTTAAAGAACACACTAGTCATATTACGAGGCGTGTGGCTCATCTTCTATCCATAGATATGGATGACCAGTAAACTAAGAATACAAGAAAGAGATAAAGTGAAAGAAAGAAATGCAGATAGAGTGAAAAATAGAAAATGAAAGAAAAAATGAAATAAACGTCCTACGTTATACACGCGTTGCTCTTTAAGAAATTCTAAATTTAAACGTTATTCGATAAAAGCCTTTGAAACTAACGTAACGTTATTCCGAGTGTAACAGATAACACACCGTTACAACGACTTCCTATCTATGTGTAACATGTTCCTACCCCCCCCTCCATCCCCTCTACCCTTCCTTACTATATCGAACGAGCTTTTCTCATAAACCTTTCGTCTCGAGAATATTACAAGGGTGTTTCCAACAGTTTCTATGATATATTATTTTCATCGTCTGCTATCCAATAGAAAAAGAAAGAAAAAAAAATTAAAAAAAAAAAAAATGGTTTCATATCGATAACTGATTATTTATACGTGTTACGTTTTTTTTTGTAATTGCAATAAATATTTATAATACGATATTGTTAAATATGCATTCGATATAAAGTCTAGACATAATTTCTTTTTTTTTTAATTTTTTAAATATATAAATATTCATTTGACGAATATCATTTTATCAAATGAATTTTATAATAATAATAATAATAATAATAATAATAATAATAATAATAATGTTTTCTAATTAGAATAATACTGTACTATGAATAAACGTAATCCTAAAACGTGTTGTATTTTCCATAGAACTACACAAAATCGGAAGTAAATTGCGTATAAAGAGGAAAAGCAAAGCAGCAAACGAGAGAACGAGAGATGTCCATTTTATCTTTTAGACCGTCCGAAGGGAAATAAAGCCCTTCGAATCTCTTAGCGCGTAATAATAATAACAGAATGAGCCTTTTGTCGGGAATAGTAGAGCAGGGAGAAGGTGGGGTGTAGGGGTGGGTGGTAGAAGGGCAACAGGAGAAGCGGGGTCACTGGGCGCGAATAGAAGCCATGATCCCTCTCTTTCTCTCTTTCTCTCTTTCTCTCTTTTCTCCAAGCGGCGATATTATCGGTCCAAAGAAAACCATGCACAGCCGGAGCCTTTCATGGACGAGCGCGGATAAGAAGCCTTCTTCGCTAATTACAAGCCGAACGTAGTTTCTGCCTCCAACAGTTCTAAAAGAACCCAACAACAACAACAGCAACGTTCTTCCTTCTACCTTACGCGACCCTAAATAATATATAAGTATTTTATTATTTCCAGAGAAAAAATGAAAAAAGAGAGAGAGAGAGAGAGAGAGAATAATTAATATAAAAACTGTCCTATGTTTGTTGAAAAAAAATATAATACAAATTAGATCCATTCAGATTTTCAACAAATCATTTAAAAATACTAATCAATCCAATAAAACAATATTCATCTTTATCGACATATACAAAAAAAAAAAAAAAATATAATCATGCCAATAAATCTAAATAAAATGAATATGAATCTTACGTAGTGAGTGATTCTCAGATGAAATGAGAGTAATGAAAGAGTCAAAAGAGAGAAAGAATGAAAGAAAGTAAGAAAAAGAAAGATAGAAAGAGAAAAGGAAATAAGAATCTTCTTTATACTTGCATGATCCGAGACTTCAACGCCTTGGACATGCGTCGACCTAGATTACGAAGGACGGGTGGGTGTCTCTCTCTTTCTCTCTCTCTCTCTTCCCGACGTGTTTTACGATTTCTTTTTTTTTTTTTTNATTTCTTTTTTTTTTTTTTACTTCACTTGAGGGAAAATCTTTAGCGTTGTCCTCGATGCGTTGAATGAGGAAAGAAATGTCTTGGGGTTAGTTCTCGTTGTCCAGCTGAGAGTGATTCCAAAGAGAGAGAGAGAGAAAGAGAGAGAAAGAGAAAAAAAGATAGATAGACATATAAAAAAAGAGGTAAAGAAAGAAAAAGAAAGAAAGAGAGAGAGAGAGAGAGAGTCCAACGATGCTCTCTCTCTCGGTAGTACCACAATACCGGCAGGGTATCACTTATTCGTGGTCCATTTTCCCTGACATAAAAGAAGCAGGAAGAGACTGGGTAGGGTGAGAGGAAAGAGGAAACTCTCGAGGATTGAGAATCGAGGGTTGAGGGACGGTAGTACGCTCCGGGGAGGGCCCATCACGGGTGCAAACACTCGCTTCACCGTGATTGCGTGGCCGCGACCCTATCTATTATTCACCTGACTCCCGACCTCTTCCTCTTCTATCTTTCTCTTTCTCTCTACTCTACTCTCCTCTCCTCTCCTCTCTAACTCTTCATCCTCATCCTCATCCTCCTAGCTAGGTTGCTAGCTAGCTAGCTAGTGCCATTACGTGCCAACTACACCTACTGTCTTCTTTCGGAGGGTTTGTTTCTACTACACTGTAACTGAGCTTTTGCATCAACTACCATTTTCCGTACTTTTTCGTTAGGTCTTCGAAAAGCTGGCTAGTCCATCTTTTTTTTTTCATTTTTTTTTTTTTTTACCAAAGCACTCACGTCCTTGTTAACAACATGGACCTTCTCGTCGTTTCAAACATTTCTCTTTGTGTATGTATTTGTCTGTATACGCGTAGAAATTTTTGCATATAATTGTTCATTCGTTTATGATATTTCAGTAATATTTCCAATTATTTATTTTATTAGATATTTTATTATCTTATTATTTCTATCTTATCGTTACTATATATGTGTGAAATACCAATATTAGAAGATATTTGGAAAAATGAAGGTTACTTCTTTTTTATTGCTATGGGTCCGTAAGGATTTACAAGGACTAACGCAACTTATCCATGTTTATTTTTTAAGATAAAATTATCCCCAAGTTATCTTATATAAGTAAAAGTATCGTAAATAAAGAAATGGTGGAAGAACAGGATAGTCAGCTGAATCTAAGGTGACAGTGTGTTACGAAAAGTCATAAGAGTAACATCGAATAAACATAACAGAAATCAATCGTTACGTTTAGTTTAATATTATTGCAGAATTTTATTTAAACATGTGTGTGTATGTGTGTGTGTGTGTGTGTGTGAGTAATCTCGTGTTGTTATTAATAATTTTTTCTTATATCAAATATATATATCAAAATATTTATAAGATAATTAATGAGATAATTAAATTATACATATAAATCTTTGAATGAAAATAATAAATAAATAGAAAAATATATCATTTGAAATCAGTTGTCAGTAAAAATGTAAGATAATTTATGTAACTGTATAAATTAAATAGAAAAATAAAATCACATAGGATTTATTCTAATGGCATATTGTTTAATATTTACAGCGGAAACGCCGGTAACGTGGCGAACAACGTGCCTCCTTCGCCCCCAGCTACAAGCAGGATACAAAACACGGAAGGACAGGTTCAACAGGACGGTGCAGCGGCCCTTCATAGGGTCCTCTGCGCCGAGAGCATCGTTGAGAAAGAACGCAGGCTCTCCGAGATGATCCTGCAGCTGCAACTCCTCAGGGAACAACTGCTCCAGCAGCAGGACCAGAAGGTAAGATTTTTATTTAGAAATAAAACATTTAAATTTGTAAAATACATTTAAATTAATATAAATCAACTTTATTCCTATTTTTTAGGATCAAGTATTAAACTAAAAATCAATTTTTATTACAATTTTAATTATATTGAAACAAATAGTACGTGAATTTATTGTGTTGTTTCAAATAGTGCAATTTTGGTTTGAAGTCAATACAAAAAATTATTTTTTATATGCATGTGAAATATCAAAAGTACGTGAGTTTATTTCGTTATTTCAAATAATGCAATTTTTTTTCAAATCAAAACAAAAAATGACTTTTATATGCAAGTGAAATATCAAAAGTACGTGAGTTTATTTCGTTATTTCAAATAATGCAATTATTTTTCAAATCAAAACAAAAAATTACTTTTATATGCAAATGAAATATTAATTCTTAAAACACACTATTTTTTGATTCATCCTAATTTTATTTATTGAATTTTTCAATTACCAAGAAATTAAATAACAAGACATTTGTTCGTATATTTTACATGACAAATAATTATTATATTAAAACAATTGTTATTAAATAATCACTTGAAAAATCTTTGATAAAAATATTACAAAATTTGTTGATTAAAATAATATCATTGCGTTTCGTTTCCGGTTGGTTAGAGATGGACCCATCCAAAATACTTTACTTCTATTTTACTAATACAAGAGACACGAGTTTCCGCTCGTAAAAATCGCATCTGTCTTCCGTTCCGCATATCTCTCTTTTTTTCGGAAGGATGACGTATTTCATCGTAACCTAATAGAAATACATTTCGAGCTTAAAATTTTTTTTATTTGCAATTAATGTTGTCACCGAAAAAAAAAAAAGAACTTTTCTATTATATTTCAAATTTAGTCTGTTAATAATCAAACAATAATAATATATTTGATTTATTTCTATTTAATACAATTATTTTCATTTGAATAAAAATGAAAATTATACACTTAGAGAGAAGGATTAAATATCGTTTCCATCATAACGATAATTTTATAATATGTAAAGGATTAGTTTATATTTCAATTATGTTAAAAATATATATATATATATAGAGAGAGAGAGAGAGAAATAGATAAAGAGAGATAGAATATTCGCTAATAAATGGACATTAATTAATTATAATATTAATTTATATATTCACCAATGTTACTAAGTCTTAGATAGAAATGTAGATATAGGTAGAAAACGATATAAGGATTATCGAATAATACAATTATTTATGATTGACACTGTATTAACAGAAATTGGAATAGAAATAAAGCAAGGATCGTTGTACCTCTGTGACTTCTAACGTTAATCTTTCTTCTCGATAATAATTCTATCCAAGAATAAAATATTTTCTACGTTCTTAATAATATTCAATTAATTTCAACTCATCTTCTTTATAATTTCATCAAAAATCTCTCTTTTTGTGATTAATTAACTGACTGTATCGATACACGAATTGAACAGACTCAAGAAACGTCATCAAAGAAAACAAATCGAAAATTGTAGTTTGTTTTCTCGAACGATTTAACGACTACAAATATAATTCGACCAAACTAAATGAAAAGGAAAAGGAAATGGGAATGGGAAGGGAATGGGAAGAACGTGAAAACGCAGCAGGAACATTATTCCAAATGTTGCCATAACCATTCCGAATCGATCGTATAACACTAGTATAGTGACAACACATAACATGAAGGAAGCAAAGACTGTGCTAACGAAATTAATGATTACCAAATAGACAGTCGAGATTTATCGATCTCTCTTGAAACCCCCCAAAGCAACGTTTCGTGCTTCTCAATCTCTCTTCTTTAAATTGTCACCTATATACTATCGATACTATCAAAGATTATTATTATTATTATTAATAGAAAACTATAAGAAAAGTACAAATCATTAACTTGTCCTCGTATTTAATTTGCAACTTTGTAGATAATTTATTTTAATTAATATAAAAATTTATCTTCTCCCCTCTTCACCACTCTTCACTCTTGTATTTTACATTTTAACTGTTATCATTGATTTTTACAATGTAATTCGAAAAATGACTTTATTATCGTTACTTTTTTTAATTTTTTATCGTTGAACCTTTGGCTACATTTGACGTATCAATACGTCATGCATTTGTTTGGGTAAAGATGCATATGACGTTATGATACGTCATTGAAACTAAGACGAGATTTAACTAGTTCATTTTGGTTTATTTTAAAGTAATATATGCGTAATTTTTATATTATTATAATTAATTATTATAATATTTAATATTATATTTAATATAATATAATAATAAATATAAATAAATATAATATNATAAATAAATATAATATTAAATATAATATTAATTTAAATTATTATAAAATATTTCCAAGTAATTTACAAAAACAATGTGTACCCAAAGTATTAAAAAATTATTATCATCGAATCGTATTGATAACATTAAATAGATCATTTTTATTTTAACTGTGAGAAAAATAGAAATCTATCGTTCGATAATCTTTTTCTAATAATGAAAGTAAAATCATAAATTTTTACGATACCGACTGATGGATTGGTTTATTTTTATTCTATTCTTTTTTTAAAATATATATTTTTTTTTTCTCATTCCTATCTGATCGATACGAAAATATAACGAATAATCATAAGGAAGTTATAAATGTCAAATTTTCATAATTCATTCGATTTAATGAACAAAGATACGTATAATTGATACGCGGATGTTACGTTAAAGATTTTACACATTCTTAAAACAAATGTAACGATACTAATTTGAACTAAATCGATCGTAATATTAAATATCGTTTTTTTCTTTCAAAGTTTTATGATGAATCTTTCAGTCAACGTCCTTTTAAAAGAAGATACACTGATAAAAATATTTAATTTAAATATATATATATATAAAGAGTGAATGTCCCTGTAATATCGTACAACGTTAACGCTTACTAAGACTGAAAATGATTGATATAATGTGCTGAGGATGACGAAAATTTAAAAATAAATATATTATTAACATAATTTAATGACATATTTAACGAGTTTCAATTGAAAAAGTTTTATTTGTAATAAATGAATTTAAAACAATTACGAAAATAATATATAGAAGATGTTAACATATCAAATATTTTAATATTACATTTAGTAGTTAAAATTATAAAATATAATTATATTATAAAATTATATAAATATTAAATTTAATATTAAAAACTTTTAATTATATTAAAATATTGGTTATCCTACGTTTTCACTGTTATTTAAATGTTAAGAATAATAATTCATTTTCAATCCTTTAAATAAAATATAACACACGTCGAATATATAATTAAGTATTATTAAAAATTATAAAATATTAATAAATTATAAAAATATATAAATATTAAATTTAATATTAAAAACTTTTAATTATATTAAAATATTGGTTATCCTATAATTTCACTGTTATTCAAATGTTCACAATAATAATTCATCTCCAATCATTTAAATAAAATATAATACACGTCCAATATTATTAGGTAATGCTTAAACTATAGTACATTTGGTTTAAAAATGGCATATTAATTAATATACATCAAATATTAAAACAAATTACAATCTGATATTTTATTAAATGAATATTTTTAATAATCATCATTAGACAAAAACGTTAGAAACAAATGTATATTAGTTTAAACAATTCAATATATGAATAAAATACATTAGAATATTATAAATATCTCTAATGATTGTTAATTAATCGAATAAAACGTAAATTATTATCTAAAAGCACGTAATATAAATACGACATACCGTTCACGTTGAAATCCAACGATAATCTGAACTCATTGTCCTCTATGTATTTAGTCCGCTCGTAACGAAACATACATAGAGACATATAACAGACATACATACATATAAACAACATTGAATAGAAAACTTTTAACTGACTTTCATAGAGGATAATGGTTTAGTATAACGTTTGATTTCAACGACAACGGTACGTCGTATTAATACTTCGTGCTTTTAGATTATAATTTACGTTTTCTTCAATTAATTAACAATCATTTGACATATGCATAATATTCTAATGTACTTTACTAATACATTGAATTGTTTCAACTAAAATACATTTGTTTTTTAACATTTTTGATCAATTATATCTATTAATTCCAAATTCATTTGAAATCAAAGTAATGGGTGTTAAACTGATTTTGATACTAAAAAATATTTAAATTACAATTAAAAGAAAAAATGATTAATTCATTTATACATTAACAAATCAAATATTTCTCTTATTAGTTACACAGTTAATACAGTTAATACAGTTATATTAACATGAATGATTTCAATGTATTGACGTTTATTATACATTATTCTCGTATTTGTTTAATTCATATGTTATAAATGAAGCTTCCAAATTAATTATATATTTAATTAAGATATACTAATTAATTCATTTTTAAATTTGTTTCATCTTTAACACACTGCATGAATTATTTTTAATGAAACAATTTAGTAATCGTAATGATATATGATTTTAAGGGTTGCACTCAATATAAATCTTTTCTTTTTTAATATATGTTCCCGAATAAATTATTTAATCCTAGCACTATTTTTAAAATAATAATAAAATAAAGTAGAAATTATAGTTGTTCACTAATACCATCATGTAATTAATCACCCACGTACTTGAATATTTGTTACTATTTTTCTATTATACATTTTTATATTGCTAAATCAAGAATCTTATCAAATAATCATATGTTTAACTTGCAATTTAAATAATATTGTAAAACATGAGATTAACAAATAGAAAAATAAACGATACCCCTGTAAGAAATTGATATTGCTTGTGACAATAATAATAGTTTATCTTTTAAATGATAGTAATAAAATTCTAATAAGAAAGAAAAATATATAAAAATAAAAGAAAAGATGCAAATGTAATTTTGTAAGTATATAATACTATCACAATATGACATTGTGATAGTGTTCGTATAAGCTTAAAAAATGGCACAGGTCATAG